GAGCTTCTAATACAGATTTTGTCACAGTTTGTTTCTTAAATATATTGTACTCCTGTATACAGGGGTAGGCTGTACTAATTAATTTCAGTGAGTAGCTCATTCACAACCAGGAGTTTGTCTTCTGTGGAAAGTCTTGATTGAAAGTCTTCAGTTGGCACTCAGTAAGATGGTCTCTCTTAGAATCATATAATATAGGAGAGGAAAAAAAATGTATGTACTTACTAACCCTAAGTTTGTAGGCTTTGCTTTTCTGTACCAACAGTTCTTGGCCAGATCTTTGTTTCATCACCCTTAGGACCACTTTGACATTCTTTCAAATGAGTTATTCTCCTATTTCCTATCTGTGTTCCTCAGACCTGTCTGGTTCATAATTTATGAAGGAAATATTCTCATAATCTCTTAATATTAATTGCTTAATTTTTATAAGAACAGACCTATGTCCATATGCTTATGTATATCTGCACTGTATGTACATGTAATATGATTTTTAATATCTCAGCAATGATTTGGAGTATCCCCGTGGAATGTTTTGAGTTATATTTTCAAGTTGTAAAACTGATACATACCAAAAGCTTTTGTAACATGCCAAGAGGGTGGTTGGGAGCAGATCTTATTGCTGGTTCCCATTGGAGCTGTTAGGCTTGCTTTATTCGTTAACTAGGCTGGAGCTGCGTTAACACTGGAGTGAGGCACAGCAGATGGGTGGCACTGGAGAAAACCTTTCTTCATAAAACAAACAGAGCTTTGGCTGCTTTTCTTGTTGTTGTCTCTGCTCCCCATCTGTCACATGTTGTGAGTTATCACTGGTGGCCTTTATTAGGTGATGGCCCTTTGCAGTCCATATTAAAGTCCTTAAAAGATTTTATTGCTTAAACCTTGCTAGTTTGAACTAACAGTGGAGATGTCGGTTGACACACTGTGCTGCATTGCTTAGCTACTTAATTTCTACCCAAACAGAAAATTTGAAAACAAGTTGTGCTGAAAGAGATTTTTGTCAGGCAACAGCAGCAAAAGTCTGCCCTGGAATAAGATTGTTTGAATATTTTCCTTTTTGATTATTTGATTTAGATCAGCTTAGTAACACATAGATGTGAAACTGATTTATTGTTCTAAATAATGAATAAAAACTGTTTTGAAGACCTGTTCTTAATTTATAAACTGAGTGACCAATTTTATCAGCTGTATTACTGAGCTGTAGAAATTTTTTATAAAAAACAGTTAGTTGTAAATAAACAGGCTTAAGCATGAGAGAAAAATAAATTATAAGTAAACATACTTATGTATAAGAGAAATCCTTAGTAAAACTTTTAACTCAGCTTTTTATTTAATAGAGCAACTTTAACATTGTTTTTTCTGTATTTATTTAATTCTATCCAAGATCAGCTTGACATGTGTCTCAAAAATCTTTTGGCTCCTAGTAAATACAAGATTATATAATATAAAAATAAAGAACTGTGTCTGTAAGATTTATAAATATATAACAGATGAGCAAAAATTGCTGTCAAACTTAGCACAGACATACCCTTTGTTTCAAATTTTTTGGGTGGAAGTGTCGATCTGCTGGATGGTAGGAAGGCCCTACAGAGGGACCTGCACAGGCTGGATCCATGGGCTGGGGCCAACTATATGAGGTTCAACAAGGCTCAGTGCCGGGTCCTGCACTTGGGTCACAACAACCCCATGCAACACTACAGGCTGGGGGAGGTATGGCTGGAGAGCTGCCTGGCAGAAAAGGACCTGGGGGTGTTGGTCGACAGCCACCTGAACATGAGCCAGCAGTGTGCTCAGGTGGCCAAGAAGGCCAATGGCATCCTGGCTTGTATCAGGAATAGTGTGGCCAGCAGGACCAGGGAGGTGATAGTGCCCCCGTACTGGGCACTGATGAGGCAGCACCTCGAGTACTGTGTTCAGTTTTGGGCCCCTCACTACAAGAAGGACATTGAGGTGCTGGAGCGCGTCCAGAGGAGGGCACCGAAGTTGGTGAAGGGTCTGGAGCACAAGTCTTCTGAGGAGGGGCTGAGGGAGCTGGGGTTGTTTAGCCTGGAAAAAAGGAGGCTGAGGGGAGACATTATCGTTCTCTACAACTACCTGAAAGGAGGCTGTAGCGAGGTGGGGGTCGGTCTCTTCTCCCTAGCAA